TTGTGTGGAAATCAATAAATGCAACATCCTCGTATCCAAACTTACAGCACCTACTAAACCCAAACAGTAATGTATAACTAAGTAACGAACAGGTTCAGTGTTGCTTAACTTTGGTGATCTTGAAGAACTGGTGCCTGGCTGCATGCACGCACTTCCAGAATAATATCCAAAAATACCAGATTATAACATATCTTTCCCAAGGTTATTGGCATGCGAGTTAATCCAACAAACACAACTGGAATTGAAACTTGGCTTTCTCAGTTCAACTTCTGAACCTTAATACATTACACCATTTCACATCCACAGTAGTATTCCCAAGCTGTCACCCATCTAGACACTGACCAGACATTGCTTAACTTCAGTGATTATAGGAGAACTGATGTTTCAACATTATGTGGCCATAAGTCACTCACAAAAGAAGAGATAGAGAAAAATAATATGTATATGTGTAAAGATAGATCAAAAAAGGGGGAAATAAAACACATGTATTGTGTTTGTCCATGTGGTTTGTTTGAAATTAAGTTGTCAGTTTACCAGCCAATCAAGTTTTGCCAGTTGTTAATGTTTGTCATATCCATGATCAACTACCTTCTGTTTTTGAATTGGCAAAAATATAGACAGAGAAGTTTATGTTGTATCTTTTATAGTTCTGAATAGGACATCACCAAGCAGACATTCAGGTAAAAACGACTCTGTAAACCCCACAAAATCAAAGAATCGTGTATGATTTTTAGAGATACCTTGAAATTTTTAATGCCCTGTCCCTTCAGGATGTAGATGATTATAGCTTTACACAAATTCTGCTTATTTTCTGTGAATTGCCATGCTTCCTTGAGAATACTTTGGTATCACATTTTTCCCTTACTTTCTGTATGGTTTGTAGTACTTAGGCTAGCTGTCATTCAAGACTAGAGAATGCAGTCTACCTAGCTATTTATTCCATAGCTGAAGGAAGAATAAATGAATTCATAACTTTTAAGAGCATAGTTCAAAATTGTTTTCTTTACTACAACAAAATTTAAATGCAATGATTTGTTTTTTTTTTTTTTTTAACTGCTGTATCTCTTTAGAGCAAAAGTTCCCAAACTTTTTTTCTCTGGGCCGCATTTTCAGAATGAAAATTTGCTCATGTCTTACCAAATTTTGTGATAAAATGTACATTTAAAAATTTAAAAAAAAAAAAAAAAAACAGAGAGAGGGTTAAAAAGAGAAAATTGTGAATTTGAATTCAGAACATTATTATTGATAACTCTCTCCTCCAATTTGCAGATCCTAGCTACTACTTGATATAATATGAAAATATCACAATGGTAAAATCAGTCAATTATTTATACTAGGACTCATGCATGCAATTAAGGTTAATTTGCAGTGTAACACACGTGCTCAGTTCACATTAAAAATTTCTGAAATACTTACATTTATGTGTAATTGTTCATGCTCCATTTGAATCTGGCTTGATACATTTGATAAATTTGGGATTTGGAAAATTTGGGATTCATTCGCATTGTTGGCAACAGCCATTACTCACGTTGTTTGCATACATTCACTGTGGAAAACTAAATGCAGAAGACTACGGAAAGCTAAGCTCGGAATTGATCTTTCTTGTCTGAATTTGTCTCAGTTACTGCACACGAGAACTATTTATGTAGACACACTCAGTTTGGACAATGATACCTACACTGATAGCTATTCTACAGTGAATGTATGCAAACAATGCGCGTAATGGCTGCCTGCAATGCGAATGAATCTGAAGTTTCACTGACAATAACTACAAAACAGTAGATTTTATCAAAATCATCAAGCTAGATTTGAATGGAGCATGTACAATTACACATAAATTTAAATATTTTGGAAATTTTTAATGTGAACCGAGTACAGGTGATACACTGCAAATTAACCGCAATTACAAGTAATTCATAATATTTTAAATTTTGGCATATTAATTTTTGAAACTGTTTCTAAATCTTTGATTGTCTTTCAGTCATTCCACCTGACCTGCTATCCTCTTCTGCCACACCTATGAGGTCTGCCACACCATTTGGGAATCACTGTTTTAGAGCATAAAAACTCATGGCTCTCCTTGGATTGGGGAGTGATTTCCAATTGCCTTCTTTAAGGTTTTGGAATATAGAGCAATCCTACTCCTAGACTGACTACCACTCAAAACTAGAGAACTCAGTTTGTACTGATATTTGGCCCAAAGCTAGAAGAAGAAGAAATGAATTTGTGCCTTTCTCCTTTGTGTGAAAGTGAATGCAATGGAATTTGAGCACTGCTTACAGACTCCACTTTCTGGATCAATAGCCATTAAGCTACCTGCACATCCACACCTGAAATATAAATGCATATATTCATATATTTCTAGAAGCAAACTGTTTATAATGATATGGATAATCGTGTTTTTGTTTGCAATGTTTATAATATAGTTTGTTCGTTTGCCTCCCTGTAGAGCCTGTGCGTAAATGAGCTGTAAAAGCAATAAATCATATTCACAATTCCTAGAGTCAAACGACAGCAGAAAACAATTCTTTCATTCCGTGTAGATCTTGTTTTTTTTTTAGCAATAACTTTGTGCATATATGACGACTGAGCTATCAAAAATTAGCAAAGAGAGGGGCAACTACCGATTGCTTAGCATAGACCATCCTGAGCATTTGTTTGTTTAATGCCATTTCAACTCCTTATGGAGTCATTTAGTACTGAAATTTAATTTTCTTTGAAGCATTAATAATTTTCTTAAAACAAAAAAAAAAAAATATTGTTGATTATTTTTTTTTTGCATTGCTGGTAAATTTTATTTTTATTTATTTATTTATTTGTTTTTTTTTTTAAATTATTAATAGTTATTTTTTTTTATTATGAAAATGGATTGCTGTTATTTTCACTATAATATATTTATATTTTCATAGTGTTTTACCCCAGTTTAGTGGCTAACTATTTGCCCATAGTTGGGACCTTAACAAGTGGTACCATCCTGGGTCAAGGTGGACCTAGGAACAACAGAAATTAAGAGGTGGTACCATGCTCTTCAAAACCTCCAATCTTTCAATCAGAGGCCTTGTTGCCGGAGGTAGTTTATCATCATACCCAGGACACCAACCTGAACATGACAAACATTATAACAAGAAATAGTGATAACTTGCATTAAAACAGCTATTCAACCTATTACAAATTCAGCTGGCTAGAAAAGTCGCACTGACTATAGAAATTTGAAGTCTTGTTTTTTTAACATTGCAAAGATTAATGACAAACTTTTAGTTTATTGATGAAATATTCAACTGGAAATTAGACACATTGATTAATGTTAAATGCAAATAATATTAACACTTTTTATCTTTCTGCATTTTATCAATTGATTTTGATTAATTGTGCAAATTTTACTGTTACAAATGATATTTTCTCCATCAGGCTGACGTGAGGTGAAAAGACTACATTGAATCCATCACTAGCTCAGCTGCTAAGAAAGTCTGTTGACTGTTGAATTTATCTTGCATATCTATAAGTCTACCATTTGTCCATGCTTAGAATATTGCTGCCATAAATGGTCTGGTGTCCCTGCTATTTACCTGGAGCTCCTTGATAAGATCCAAAGAAGAATCAGCAATATTACTGGTCCTGATCTGGCAGCTCAGCTTTAGTTACTTGCCCACCACCTAAGGTTGCCTCTCTGTGCTTTTTTTATAAATACTTTTTTTATAAATACAATGGTAATTGTTCACGTGAGCTCTTCACAATGGTACCTGGACTGTATGAATTTAAGTGCAATATCAGATTAGTGGCAAGATCTCATCAATTTACAGTTGGGCTGGCTAGATGCAGCTGTAGCTTCTATGCTAGTAGTTTCTTTTTTCATACTTCTTGTGGAACTCCCACTTAGCTCCATACTTTCCAGCCAACTGTAATCTGCAAAAATTTAAATGCAATGTCAATCGCTATCTACTATCTTCCTGTTTGCTCTTTTCTTTCTCCCCGTTACTAATGTTTCTCTTCCTAATTCCTCCACACCCTGTAACCTCTTGTATGCTAATGGCTTTACTGCCTCGCTTGCGGTGATACCAATTTAAAAAAAAATAATACAAGACAGCAAATGATTAACAAGTAAGGTCTCCTACTCTGTAGATCTTTTTACACTATTCTGCACCCAATCCAATGCTCAAAGGCAATTCAAGGTAGATGTTAACTAAATGAGGCTGTTCCTTATGGAGACTTGAAACAACAGAAATATGGTTCTACAGAAGGATGCTGATAATACCATGGACTGAACATGAGCAAGGGTGCAGTTTTAAAGACAATGTAAACCAAAGAAAAAAAGAAAAAAAAAAAGGATACTTATATTTAATGTCAGAAAAAGTTCTATAGCACATAAGGAAAGAAGGCTTGTGAAATTTGATACTCACAGTATAGATTGAAGACAGAAGGGACAAATGAGAACAACACATAAGCTAGCTAGTGAGCTTGTATAAATGGATAGCAGGACACAGTGTAGGAGAGATGACAAAAAGATAAAATTTATTTTGAGCTACAAAAGACAGGAAATTGTGGAGAGTCATGATCACCAATGCCCTGAAGGGACTCAGCACACAGAAGATGAATGTAAAAATTGTAGATTATAAGAATATGTAGGATAGATAATAGTTGATTGATTGATACCAAGGAAGTCGTTAATGAACATAAACATAATCTAAGTCCAAGGATAGAGCCCTGGGGGACCCCCACATTAATATGAAATAATCTAGAAGTTTAGCCATTCAACATGACTGTCATTACCCAATTTGTTGATGGATTAATTTGTTTTCTATGGCTTATCAATATTTTTAGATTGTAAAAATTTTATAGAGATAATGGTTTAGCTAGACAAGTCTTACTAATTTATCCATAGCTGGAGGTAGAAGAGGTGGAGTCATAACTTTCTCAAGGGTACCAGCACATAAGTGAATATAATGAACCTAACAGGAATTGGCACTCAGCTCTCCAATTAACAATTCCAAGCCATTATCCATTACACCACTTGGTGTTCCCAAGTGGCGACCCATCTAAGTACTGACCAGGCTCAACTTTGCTTAACTTCAATGATCGTACAGGAACTGGTGTTTCAACATTATGTGGCAGTAAGATCCCACTCACAAAAGAAGAGACCGAGAAAGTAATATGTACATGTGTACAAATAGATTAAAAAAGGAAAACAAAATATATATGTATTTAGCTGTAGTGAGTGTGTGTTTGTGTGGTTTGCTTGAAATTAAGTTGTTGGTTTACCAGGCAGTGATGTCTTTCCAGTGGGGAAGTTTAGACATGACTGTAATGTACTAAATATTTTTTTAGGTTGGCAAACAGATAGTGTGTGTTTCAATGTGATATGACTGAAAATCTAGATAATACTTGAAGTTAGACTTAAAAATGTAGCGATCAGGAAACCATCCTCTCTGGAATCTGTTCCAAAAAGCAGCAGCAGTTGGGAAAAAACTGTCTAAATGTAACTTGCTTCTTTTGAATTGAAAGCAAATGGAGTGAGGATGGTTTGCCTCTGTGTACATGATGTAGTGGGTTTTATCTGTAAAGGACTCAACTGGTTAAACTCTGGAACATAGCTCATCAAAATATTTTCTAATGAAAATCGAGTACTAATAGGCTTGTGATTTTTTTGTTTGTAGGGGAAGGAGAAGTAAAGTGGAAAATAATAATTATTAAAATAACCCATAAAGCTTTTGAAACACTTTCAAACTCTATCAAGGCTAGGAAGAGATAATTGAAAGCTCCAACCCAGCAATAATTTATTTTGATGAGATTTCCACTTTGGTAACATAACTTCATATATTTATGGTTAGTTTGACAATGATAGGTTTATCTCATTTTACTGTTGAAATTGCTGGACGTATTTCTAATTCCTATTTTAATATTACTTTCTCTCATGTTGCTTATGGAACTCTTTTCAAGTTTCTTGCTTCTTTTTTTTTGTCAACTACAATCTACAAAAAATTAAATACAGTATCATCATCATCTGTTTCCTTCAATTCTTTGCTATTTATTTTGTCTTTTCTCTTCAGCCATGTTTTCTCAGTTTCCTTTACTTTATTATCTTTAAGCCTCAATAAATTCAAAGAGCTGAGTTCACAATTCCAGTTCAGTTCATTACATTCATTTACACGGAAATGTTATTGAAAAAAAAGTATGAATTCCCCTACCCCCCAACTATGGGTTAAATAGTAGAACTTGAAACTGGAAAAATCATTGTTATTTTTCAAAAAATTGTGAAAGCAATAAGAATATTGCTTTAAAAAAAAAAAAAAAAAAAAATTTACAATCCAAAATATGCTTTAGCTTTGAATAACCACAGAATCAAAACAAAAAAAAAATCAGTCAAACATACTCAATAAACCCTTGTCTTAGTGGTTTTATCACAGTACTTGTGTTGAAATGATGAAAAAAATATAGCCGAATAATCATAATGGAAAAATAGAACATGGTAGGTGGAGTAAGGTAATTCCTGGAGCAGTATAAGTACCTGACCATTTTTTTCAAAATGGCGGTTATGAACACTAAAGATGGTAACATTTTAAGGGTGTATTTAGTAATAAATAAAGTGCTGTTCAAAGGAACAGTGTAAATTTAATGTGTGACAGCACTGCGTAATAGGATTCATTAGTCATGAATACTTCCTCTGAATTGTATTTAAATATTAGTGATGTTGGCGCTAGAAAACTGTGCATGACCTGAAATTCACAGACATATGAAAACAATGAAACTTTGCAAACACCAGGAAATGTCTAATAATGCCATGACCAAGCAATGTATCCAAAGAACAATGTCTGAAAAAGGAAAACTTTTTATCATCAGGACAAAGCAAAGCAGTCAACAAATGCTGAAAACTCTGAAATTCAATTGTTTGTTCATCCCTGATTTGGTAGCATTAGAATTTTGGTTGTTCACAAAGGTTTATTGATTAATATTAAATGCAAATAATATTCACACTTTTTCATCTTATCTTTTTGCATTGTATCAAATGATTTTGATTAATTGTGCAAGCTTGAGATTTCTACAAATGATTTTTTCCCCACACAAAACAGAAAATGATTGATAAGTCTCTTACTGTATTAGTTTTACAGAGATAGAGACATTTTTGATCAGGGAAAAGAATCAACATTCTTTACTAAGTGTCTCAAACTTTTCCAAAAAGGAACTATAATAAAGAATTGGAATCAAAGCATTGATGGTACCTACCCTGAATCCACTATGAAAATGCAGGATTTGGAATTAGTAAATACTAAACACTAGTTCGTCTTGCATATTTATAAATCTACTACCATATATTCCAGCATACAAGATGCACTTCTTTTCCTGAAAAATACATGTGTGTTTTACAAGATAAATGTAAGTCAATGCCCACATTCAAGTAAGCTTGGACGGTCACCTAACTAACTTGACTGATAGGGACTTGGATTTGTATGTTGAGTCATTACACTATAATGTTAGTTATCTATCTAATTCAGCCTTTTATAAGATGTAACCTCAGTACTTAACTGTTACCAGTATTTCCAAGAATATAAACCTTCCTGGAGCTGAGCCAGAAGCTTAAACATGCTCTGTTGACTAGCAGTGGCAGGAGCCTTTCTGCTCTAGACTACTATGTCATTGCCATACAAACAAAATCGGACAAGTGATTAATGTAAACAGTATGTGTGGGACACATGGTAAATGTGTTGTGTCATGAAAACGACTTTTTTTTTTTCTTAGAAATTTCTTTCCACCATTAGGGTGTGTCGTCCAAGCTGCAGTGTCCTGTAAGCCAGAAAATATAGTATTCATCCATGCACTGAATACTGCTGCCATATCTGGTTTGGTGCTCCTGCTATTCACTTCGAGGTTCTTGACAAAATCCAAAAAACGGTCTGCAATGTAATCGATTTCGACTTGGCATTTTGACTTCAGTCAATTTCTCACTGACATGACATGGCTTCCCTCAGTCTTTTCTATAAATATTTTCATTGCAACTGCTCTGATGAGCTTTTTTTCACCCTGTTGCCCAGACTACATGAATTTAACCATGCTACTCTTTTACTGTTGAAATATTTAAATTTAAGTGCTGATTCTACTCCAATAGTTGTTCTCACACTTCTCACCTGTGCAACTCCCTTCTGTTTCCTTGCTTCCCTGAAAACTACAGTCTTCAAAAATTTAAATGCAACGTCAATCACCATCTGTCTTCTTGATTTCCTGTTCATCTTTTATCTTTTCCCCAATCCTCCTATACCCAGTCTTTTCTCTCACTTTCATTCTCTGTAAACCTGCTGCATACCAGTGGCAGAAACGCCTTGCTTTGGGTGTAATGATAAAAATAATATAAAAAATTCTAATACTTCAGTGTACAGATAAGTTATAACAAATTTGGTTTAAGAGAAAAGGAAATTGAACATAGAACAAGCTGTGCTAGGGATAGTTTTGCAAAACACCACAAGATGCTGCAAAACCAAAACATTAACCTAAGAGTCATGTTCTTAAATAGCCTTGTGAGATCAAGGCTTTCCTATGGATGTTATGCTTGATACCCAACTAGCTCAGAAATGTTGAAATTTAACTGCATAAAACTGTTTTCTCAGATCAATGATTAGAAATGGCTTTCAGAAAATGAAACCTGTAGGTTTTAGCAAGAACTTTCCTTCTTTGTGACCTTATGGACACGCACAACATAATCTCAAACAAAGAACTGTATTAAATAACAAAGAGCGCATCACTTAAGATTTTTCAACAGCAACAAAAATGAAAATGGATAGCACAGGTAATTTAAAGAGAAAATAATGACATAATGAAGATGCTGACTCTACTTTGAATGAAAGGTCAGAAAAGAAGCCCTTCTTTGATAGTGGAATGAACAATAATAGGTAGTGGACTTGAGAAAGTTATTTTCCTGAAAAATTTCATATAAAAGTAAAACATATATTACTGCTTTCTGCAAGTCTCATGTGGATACTTAGATGTTGATGCTGTTGTTTCACACATCCTCAGACACTAAGAGTGATGAGATACTCTTATGGATAAGGAACTGAGTAAGTATAAGGGGGTAAGTGTGATGAGATAGTTCCTTATTCTTAATAAAAAAACTAAGCATTATGAAACAGGAGCATCACCATCAAAGTGTCCACATGATAATCTAAATTGTGAAAAGCAGTAACATATGAATAGTGTTTTACTTTAATTGTATATCGGCTCTTTTTTGTATATTTTACATTGAGCCTTGTTTTTATAGCATTCCTGTCCACCGTTATTATATACAATTCTCTAGGTCTTAAAGAAGACAGTCCTTCATCAGGTCTTACAGATCGGCACTGCAGAATCATGAACAAAGAACTGTACAATATACAATAACTATCAACAACTAAAATGGGCAGCACATAATAATGACACAAGCAAGATGCTGATATTTTATATGGCTCGGTTCTTTGGTAAATGAGTACCCGAATCTAATTTAATACAATATCTGTGTACTTATTGTAGCTTCTATCACTACCCAACTTAACAGTGGTGAATATGTGTTGGTATAGATTCAAAAGAGGACCCGGATCGTGTGCAGACATGTGTATTAACACCTGTTACATCCTGGTTTTCTCCGTTAGCAACAGGACAGCTTAGCATGTCTGGATATGAGCCTCTCTGCAACTGGTTAAGATTCAGGCCTTTCTAAGATGCCTTATGCCAATAAAAGCAACAGAAAAACCAGCAGTTGGGAAGACATGGCGTATCTGTAAAGTCGATCCCATGGACCTTTTGTTACTAAAGTTTCTGTGGTTTCTGAGGCAGGGTTATTTTTGTTACCTCCTGTCTCTTTCCCCACTCTGCCTATTACTACCATAGTTGCTGGGAGAGCAATTGGCTAAGGGTTTACCCCCAACCTAAACACTCTTGTTGTATATTACAACATTAACACTCTATAAAGTAGTCTTGCATAATGACATTCTTCTGAGTTTAATGTATGTATTTCACATATATACTCAAATTCTTTTATCCAAACCCAGATCTACCAAACCTTATAAAAATTCTTTCATTCTCAATAGAGAATCGGTAATAGGTTACCCTGGCATGAATTATCAATATTTCTAATGTTT